AAACTCCAACAGATCGTTTGAAATAAGAAAAAGAACGAGAAAATAATATAATATCCATTCTACTACATTTCACAGGTCCACTGGGCAGATATTGAAGCAGAATTTCCTCAGGCACCAATCAAGCGGCCAGATCTGCCGTACAGGACGTATGCTGTATGCGCGTTGGGGTATTTATAACCTGAGAGAACCCTAGGGTTTGGTGCCACAGCAAAAAGTCATGGCGGCGCCAAACCAAACTTAAACCCTAATTTTCTAATTATTTTGTTTTCATTTTTATATTTAAAAAGAGTATAAATGTATTATAAGAAAACTTGGGCCTGAAGTTGATCAGCTTGTGCTTGGCTTGGAATTAAGCTCATTTATTAAGTTCAGATGTTGCCCAAACCAAAAATATATTAATAAGTGCGTGGGAAGAATGTTTAGCCAATGAGATGGAATTAAGCCAATAAATCAAGATCGGAAAATCAATTCTGCCTCCACCCAGGTCATAGAAAGAAATTAATTGGAGTTTGTTATTTTGTTGTGCTATTCCCACCTCAATCGATTGCGGGGGCTGTTTGGTGCGATTATTGTTTGAGTTTGATAATTGGTTTTATTTGCTCATTTGATAATGAAATTTTCCCCGCCTCTGTCTGTGGATGAAGATATTTATCCTAAACCACATAGATTGTTTTTCTTTAATTTTTATATTACTCTCAAATTATGGATTTAGCATATTTTTGTTGTCAATTTCACAACAATTAACTTAAAAATTACCGAAATTTGTAAAAAAAATTTCGCTAGTTAGGGCTTAGTATTAAGGTATATAATTTTAGATAATAACTTGACTATAGTAGTTATCTACCGGCATCAGAAAAGGGCATGTGAGGGCATGTGCGATGATGTGGCAACACTAAAGTTGAGGTGGACTTTCAATTATATTCTTAGAGTTAAATCGAAATTAAAAAAAGCAAAGATATAATAAAAATCTTTGGAATATTGGATCATATACTTTCCATTGAATAATATTAATTAGAGCCTGGCAGCAGGTTAGGAGCTCGACCCACCCATAGCCGCTCGGGTGGAGGATGCAGCCCAAAGTCTCACCACGGGAGACACAACATGATCACATAGAGTGATAAACAAACTCCGGCCACAATCAAATGGCACACTTGATGAAAGAAGATTATTTTCAATCAAATATTCCCTTGACACACTAATGGCTAAGATAAAAGTATGCATTGCTTCTACTTTACCAAATAATTAGAGATGATTAGATATATAGATATTATTTACATAGCAACTTTAGTCAAAAAATTGAAATCCACAACATCCTTTGCTAAACTTGGGCATTTTAATGCTTCTTGTACAGGAGATGGAGTGATTATGGTCCTTCTATTATACCATTGAATTGACTTCCATCAGGACGAAGTACCGGAACTTCCAGGACCTCAAGGAACAGTCGAAGAAGCCCCAAATTAACACTACCTCTCATATTTTTTCTATTTGCAATTGAAAACACCCGAGAAGTACTTCTCTGCATATCGTTTGGCAAAGACAACTCAGTTGAGCTTCTATGTCGCTTTGTGTCAGTCCATTTTGGAAAAGCTGCTTCTTGCGGATCCCAGATAATGATGCGGAGCTCGGTGAAGTAGGCTGTCGATTGCCATCTTGAGTCTGTAAGAAATCAGAAAACCTTGCAGCGTAAGACCCATCTCTGATCATGCCAAGCAGAACTTGGGTGCTGAACTGGCTCTAAAAGTTTGGCTCGTTGAGAGTAGTGTCCGTCTACGGGAAGTTCCATGCAGAGTCGGATGGCAGCGCTATCATATGCCATGGCGGCTTCTATTTTTAGATTTAAAGGTTCCTAGCCGGATGCGTTGATTGTCAGCATATATCTGTGCTCCCCAGTGCCCATTGACTTGGCACACCACAAAAGACCTAATTCAATGGTTATAGTAGTAACGAGTAACATCAATGGCAAGTAGTTAAATACAATGTCAGTAAAAAAAAATAGAACAAGATAACAGATGGAAGAAAAAATTATAGAAACACAGACACAAAATAAAAAAAATAAAAAAAAAATCTGATAAAACACAAGTAAACAAACCAAAAGGTAACCTCTATAGTCCTATGAAACAAAAATGAAAAATCAATAAGTAAATTAAGAAACCTCGTATGTTTGTTTTTCCATAGCCGTTACCACTGGTTGTTATAGTTGTAGTAATATGCATTATTTTTGTTAATATATCCTGAAAAATATGACAAGTTCACTACATTACAAGTGGTAACGGCTATGGAAAGAAAAATATAGTATGGAGAATCATTGTCAAATCAAATAATTAATGCAGTTCATTTTATGTAGCTACGCACTAAATTACAACCATAGCGATTAATGGCAAATGCAATGATTTACACCTTTACCACTAGTGGCGTAACATAACATTATATGCTAAACATTTAAATGTTTAAGATGTAGTTAAAACACTTAAAGCATGTGCAATGTGAAAAGTTTGCGTAAGTGAAATTATCAGTATGTTCGACACACCTTTGTTGAAGTGAGAATATGTAGTTTGAATCTTTCGAAATTGGTAGAACCCGAACCCAGTGAAAATTAAAAGTTATAATCTTTATAAAATCAGTGAAAAAAAAATTACAATTCCAAAATGGCCAAACAACCCATCTAAAGAGATACAAAGTTCAGAAGCTAACCAACTTAGATAGCAAAATATTCACAAAAATGGAGCACAAATTTGCACTTTTCATATATGAATTTTGCAAGGATGAAGCGCATGCTATACCATTAGGGTTTACAATAATTTTGATGAGAATGTGAATCTAATAAATATATATAATTCAATGCTGAGTGATGTTGAAAAATAATAGATTTTTAATTTAGCTTTTTATAATGAAATATATAGGCCCACCCACTATTAATTATATATATGGAACAATAATAATAAGTTTAGTTGGGTGCGTTGGTTAATGTTTTTTTAAGATGGGTTGCTGGGTTTTTTTAATGAAAAAATAATTATTTAATTAAAAGATTTATAATACCAAGAAAATTATTATAAGTGCTATCTAATTGCTATTATTATTATTATTGGTAAATAATTTTAAATGAAGATAATTATTACTATTTAAAATTTTATAGTTTGTTCAAGTAATTTTAAAAATTATTTTTTTTAAAATGTTTAAACAACACTTCCTTTAATCTTTATACAATATTTTTCATACCAGCTTACAAACTGTTTAAAAATTTTGGTGTCATTCCTAATAATTTTAACTTTGAATTAGATTTCTTTATAATTAGTCCGAGCTCAATGAGTTTAACATTGTTTTCTATCTTCACTTTAAATAGTTTTAGTGAAAGGCTCGGCACATGTAAAATATTTAAAGCAGCACCCGTTTATCTCATGTTTACCACATCGTTTATTATAATTATATAACATATTTTTTGTGAATCTGATGATGATGCCATATCATATTTATGATCTAATAAGGGAAAATTGCCACATCCAACTTCATGAGAAGCAAATATTATTTCTTTTAATTAATGGCTATTTTCAAATTAAAATCTATACACTGTCATACAGATCATTCCATATATATATATATATATATATAATGAAATAGTTAATCCTTTTAGCATTACACGTCGAATTCATCTATACAAAAGAAAAAGGCCAACCGAAATCACATAGATGAAACACATTCACTACACATCGTCAGCGCAACCAGATACCCAATGTGCAATCCAATATGAGAACGCTAAAATGCACACGAATTAGAACGCATGTTTGATCAAACATCTATATACAATCCGCACAATCATCATCATCACTCTATCTCTCTCCGGTAGAAAGAAAAAAGGCAAAACATCATATCTCTTAGGCAACACGGAGCCCACCATGTCAACAATTTGGCAATGTAGCAACTTACTAATTATAATTAACTAATATTTATTATACAATATAAAATGCTAGCATTAAATTAAGCTTTTAATAACTTTAATCACCGTCTGTCGGCAAAAATCAATTTTTTGTATAAAATTCCTTGTCGAGGATGATTGGTAGATACCCAGGTATGTCAATGCAACTTACTAGCGGTGTTTCATTAGCAAAAGATAATGCAAGTTGATGTAGAACAACCAGCAAAAATGTGTTGTATTAGATTGAAACATGAAATACAATATTTTTACAAACATTTAAGACAAAGAGCAAGAAAATATAAAGCAAAGAAAAGTATAAAATTAACATTCTAGAATATGAGCATCATATACAACAAACAACAACGTCCTCCAGAATAAATATCAAGAGAACATTAAGTTTACAGCAACACAACTACAACACTCTCAATTTACAACAAGTTATCAAAGTGCTAAATTTTCCCTCCCTCATAGCTCATCCTGGGACGAGCAAGAAAGTTTGATCTGCAATTGAAAGAACAGAACATTCACATGAGAAAAAAGAAAGGGACACACCATGATCACATACCGTGATAAACAAACTCCCGTCACAATCAATGGCACACTTAACGAATGAATGATTTTTTATTTTTTTTAAATCAGACATTCCCTTGGCGCACTATTGGATAAGCACTCTTCTAATTGTATTAGATGTATAGATATTATTTACATATCAACTTTAGTCACTAAAGAGAAAATCACATCATTTTTTGCAGAACTTTGCCATTTTAGTTTCGTTGGGGTCTGAATTTTCGGTTTGGGTTTTGAATAGATAAAAAAAATATGAATTGATATAATTACATTATCTGATATAATAAGTAATTGATATATTTTAAATTTAAAATTAAATTTTAGAATAATATAAAAAAAAATAAGTATTTGATGTAACATTTTATGAAATAACAAATTTGATAAATAGTATAAGACAACAAAAATATTTCAACCAAACACAAATAATTTTATAACAAATTTTACAAGACCATCTTTCAAGAAAAAAACTAACCTGTACAGCACTTGCAGCAATAGTTGGACCTTCTACTCTACCACTGAGTAGCTCCCCATCAGGACAAAGTAACGTGATATTCATCCTACCCTTTTTGCCACTTAGAACCCCATCCTTAAATGGAGCAAATGTACCAACCATTGAAACAAGTTCTAACTGACCCTACAAAAAAATGAATAATTATAATAAAAGGAATTAAATAGATAAATAAAATAACAAAAAATCTGATAAAAATATAAGTAAACAAATTTAAGGTTAACCACTAATCAAACAAGAATGAAAAAACAATAGATGTCAGTAAATTAAGAAACCTCATATATTGAGTGTTCCCATTCTTGCCCATAATGGCAGATTGTGGCGAGCGACAAGATCCCACCGGTTGCATTCACGAACACAACCCCTGGTTCTATCGTCGCAACTTCCATTATTTTTCTGAATATATCCTGAAAAAATATGCCTAGAAGTTTAGTACATTAGAAGTGGAAAGATAGGAGCTCACATCAAGGTAAAGAAAGTGTAGTTTAATGGCTATGGAAATACAAATGTATGACGGAGATTAATCATCGTCAACATAAATAATCAATGTACTTCATGTATGTAACTACATACTTAATTACAAGCATAGTGATTAATGATAAGTGCAATGATCTACACCTTGACGACGCGTGGCACATCATTATATGACACACACATAAATGTTTATGATGCAAGTAAGTAGTACAAAACAGATTAAAACACTTAATACACATGCAATTGTCAAGATTTTGCATAAGAGAAATTATCAGTATGTTGAAATATTTACCTCCCCTTTGTTGACGGTGAGGATATGCTCTTCGATAGATCCTGCAAGCAAAATTTGTCAAGAGTGTTTAAGGTTAGATCAAATTCATATACTTAGATAACAATTTCAAAAATGCAAAGCCATAATAAAAATATTTGGAAGATTAGATCTTAAGCTTTACATTCAATAATCTAACCTGAGGGTGTGGGCCTGAGGTTCCTGGCTGGCGCCACAGTCCTCTCTCTGTGAGTTGTCTTTGTGCGCGCCATCGTTCAACAAGAAAATTAAACCTTCGACTTCGAAACTAATCTGTGTAAATAAAAACAAAAAAAAAAAAAAAAAAATTGCAATACCCAAATGGACAATCAAATATGCCAACGAGTAGAAAGCTCGTAAGATCGAAAAGTTAGATAGAATAACTCTACAAAAATGGAGCACAAATTTGCACTTTCCTTACCTCCGATTAAGAAGCTAGAAGAGTAAGGAAGGAAGAAGACGCCTGCACTTTACAGTTAGGGTTTCGATGATTTTAAGACAATGTGATTCTAATATATATATAATTCAGAGGTTGAGTAATTTTTTATTTATTTTTTGAAAAATAAAATCTATCGGCCCACAAAACTATATACATATGTTACAATAATAATAAGTTCTTAGGATGTGTTTAGGTGTGTTGGTTGATGGGCTTTGAGTTGAGTTTTTTTTTTGGGTTTGTTCAATGGAAAAACAATTATATAAGACCTTATAATATCAATAAAATAAGTATAAGTACTATCCAATTATAAGAATATCAAAACTAGTCTAATAATATGTTAACTTGGAAGTGTTTTTTTTTGTCAGTGTCATCCTGAAACCCATCTTAAGTTTTTTTTTTTTTTTTTTGTGCTACAACCATCCTGCAAGTGTTTAATTGAGTATTTGGAGCTCTTTCCTATCTTTGAGAGAATGTCTAAGACAAGTAGGGTGGGTATTGAAAAAAAAAAAAAACAGATAAAAGAAGCTTTGTAAAAAGAGGGACAATGACACAGGAAAAAACTACTGTAGAAATACAAAACCTGCTTCAACTAGTGGGAGTGAACATTATAGAAGTAAATGTTGGTTAGAGGTAATGCTTGTTTTTTTCATCTTCTTTGGATGTATGATATCATGAGATATCAAATTTTTTTGATGGAGAATGTTTGTGTTATATATATAGGCACACACGCTCACATTTGATAAACGATCGATTAAAATTTGTACAGAGAGAGTAGAATATATACACGCACTCTAACATTTGATAAATGATAGGTGTAGATTTGTATAGAGACAGTATAGAATTGTGAGGCATTCAATTTTCATCTGGTACACCTATAAATTTACAATAATCATAATGGATAAACAAATCAACCAAACAAACACAACGGTAGGAGAACAAAAATTTAGATAGAAAGAAACTTATGAAAAATAATCATTTGATGTGAAGTTTTAATGTAAAATTGATTTTAAGTATAATATCAAAAATAATAACAAAAAAGTGTTTGATTTGACTTATTTTTTGGAAAAACAATTTAGTGAACAGTAAAAATCAACTAAAATCTTTCAACTAAACACAATTAATTTTATCACAAGTTAAGTGATTCCAATCCAAGAGCTTTCAAAAAACGAACTAACCTGTCCAGAAGTTGCCGTATTCACAGGATCTTCTACTCTACCACTGAATAGATTTCCATCAGGACAAAGTAATGTTGTATTCATCCTTCCCTTTTTGTCACTTACAGTTCCATCTTTAAACGGAACAAATGTACCGACTATTGAAACAATTTCAAATAGACCCTACACAAAAATAAATAAATAAATAAATATAGACAAGGCAATTGATAAATAAAACACATGTAGACAAACCAAAAGGTAACCTCGAATCAAACAAGAATGGAAAATTAAATTAAGAAACCTTGTACATTGTGGGTTTGCAATATTGCACAAGAAGGCATATTGTGGCCCATGATAAGGTCCAACTGGTTTCTTTCACATAAACAATCCCAGGTTCTGTTGTCGTAGCATCCCTAATTTTTCTTAGAATATTCTGAAAAATATGTCAATAAGTTCAGCACATTGCAAGTGGAAGTGATAGGAGCTATCATTAAGGTAAAAAAAAGTATAATTGAATGGATATGGAAAGACATAATATTATTAGATGTACACCTATAATATTCAATGTAGTTCATTTTTATAAACATACTATATTACGAGTATAGCGATCAATGACATGTTCAATGATCTAAACCTTGATGATGCCTGACATATTATTAGATGGTAAACGTATAAATTTTTATGATTCAAGTAAATCATACAAAACTGATTAAAGCATTTAATACTCATGCAATTGTCAAGAATTTGCATAAGAGAAATTATCAGTATGTTGAAATATTTAACCTCTCCACCGTTGAAATTGAGAATATGTTGTTTGAATCTTTTGAAATTGGTTGAACCTGCAAGCATAATGTGTCAAGAGTGTTTAAGGTTCAATCAAATTCATATACTTAGATCACAATTTCAAATGCAAAGACATAATAAAAATCTTTGGAAGATTAAATCTTATGTTTTACATTCAATAATGTTACCTAAGGGGTTGAGCCTAAGTTTCCTAGCATGTTGGCAGGTCCACCCAACCACAGTTGTTGGGTTGGAGTATGCAGCCGGCGTCATTGCCTCGGAATCCTTTCTAGAGATAAGATTTTATTTCTTTATGCTTGCCATAGTTCAATCTGCAAACTAAAACCTTCCAAGACTGAAAAGTTATTGTAATTACAATATGACCTGAAAATAGATTTTAACAATGAAAACCTCAAGAAATCAAATAAAAAAATGTAATGAAAGATAGTATAAAGTAAGTTTTTATGAAAAATCAAAATCACTTAAAGTTAACAAATTTTATAGTGGCTTTGCCCCTAGTACATCCACTTAAAAACGATTCAAACAATAGATGACAAGAGCCGACACCCAAAGATGCGACCAAACAACTCACTAGCTCCTATCCTCTCGCAACTATCGATCTACTTTTGATGACAAACCCTAGATTTATTTGACTTACAGTTGACAAGAACACACCACTCACAAAATCAATCAAACAAAGGGACGAAGGAGATATAATCAGTCTCCGCGTCACCGGAAACAAGATCACCGGTTCTCAAACTTCACAAAATACACAGCTAGGAACTGAGAGGACTTACCTTAGAGAGAGGATTAGAGAGGAAGAAAAATGAGAGAATAACCCTTGAGAGAGAATGAAAGATAGATGATAGAGAAGATATGAATGAGTAATGGCTGCGCATATAGCACATATATATATTAGGTCGGAATCAATAGGTTACAAAAAACCCTCCATCGGACGGATGTGGATTAATCTCGGAAGTGGGTCCGTGGGCCTTAGAAAATTGGCTTGGTTCTTACTTGGCCTTTGGATCAATTTCGGCCTCAAATATCACATGTAGAAATTAACAATCCTCCACCTAGTTTTTTGTCATACAATTTTATTGGAAGTTTAGGGTCTTCATCGTCAAAAATAAAATTAAATTCCTGCGTAAATAAAACAAAATTGTCAACAAAGAAATTCTAAATAATTGCATTTCATGATTAAAATCTACAACTACACATAAAGTTAGTAGTACATGTTACTCATATGTATCACAATATATAGCCTTCGTGAATGTATCACAATATATAGCCTTCGTGAATGACTAGAATTTAGAAGAAAATAATGCTTTTGTTCCAATATTACGAGGAAAATACAGATCAACATGTTTAGTTTGTCATGAAATACGAGATTCTTACACAATTGATACCAAATCTAGCATCCAAAAAATAGTAACGAAATTATGCAAATAACTGATTTTAGACATTAAGCCTTTGAACGAAATCTTTTAGGAGATTTTCAAAGTATATTTGAGGTAGAATATAAAAAAATGATATATGCAGAGAAATGAAAATAAATATCATGCATGTTTGTATAGTAACTCTGAAAACCTTATCAAAATTAAAAATATCTCTTTGATTGGTGAGTGTCAGTTCGATCTCTGAAAAATTGGGCCTGAAGTTGATCGGTTTGTGATTGGCTTGGAATTAAGCTCATTTATTAAGTCCAAAAGTTGCCCAAATAAAAAATATTTTAAGAAAGAAGTTGGATGTATGTCGGAGGAATGTGTAGCCATGAGATGGAGTTAGCCAATAAATCAATATTGGAAAATCAGTTATGCCTCCACAGACGTCATAGCAAGAAACTAATTGGAGTTTGTTATTTTGTTGTGCTATTTCCACCTCAATCGATTGTTGGACTGTTCGGTGTTGTTATTTGTTTGAGTTTCATGGATGAAGGTATTTATCCTAAACCACATAGATTGTTTCTCTTTAATTTTTTATATTACTCTCAAATTATAGATTTATCGTATTTTTGTTGTCAATTTCACAACAATTAACTTAAAAATTACTGAAAATTGTAAATCTTTTTCCGCTAGTTAAAGCTTAGTATTACGGTATATAATTTTAGATAATAACTTGACCATAGTCGTTATTTCAATCTACCAGCATCGGAAAAGGGCACGGGAGGGCATGTGCAATGATGTGGCAACACTAAAGTTGAGGTGGACTTTCAATTATATTCTTAGAATTAAATCGAAATTAAAAAATGCAAAGATATAATAAAAATCTTTGAAATATTGGATCATATACTTTCCATTAAATAATATTAATTACTTGAGGAGTTGAGCCTGGCAGCAGGTTAGGAGCTCGACCCACCCATAGCCGCTCGGGTGGAGGATGCAGCCCAAAGTCTTACCACGGGAGACACAACACGATCATAAAGAGTGATAAACAAACTCCGGCCACAATCAATGGCACACTTGATGAAAGAAAATTGTTTTCAATCAAATTATCCCTTGACACACTAATGGTTAATCTAAATGTATGCATTGCTTCTACTTTACCCAATCATTAGAGATTATTAGATGCATAGCTATTATTTACATAGCAACTTTAGTCAAAAAAAAAAAAAAAAATTGAAATTCACAACATCTTTTGCTAAACTTGGGCATTTTAATGCTTTCTTGTACAGGAGATGGAGTGATGATGGTCCTTCTACTATACCATTGAATTGACTTCCATCAGGACGAAGTACCGGAACTTCCAGGACCTCAAGGAACAGTCGAAGAAGCCCCAAATTAGCACTACCTCTCATATTTTTTCTATGTGCAATTGGAAACACCCGAGAAGTACTTCTCTGCATATCGTTTGGCAAAGACAACTCAGTTGAGCTTCTATTTCACTTTGTGTCAGTCCATTTTGGAAAAGCTGCTTCTTGCGGATCCCAGATAATGATGTGGAGCTCGGTGAAGTAGGGTGTCGATTGCCATCTTGAGTCTGTAAGAAATCAGAAAACCTTGCAGCGTAAGACCCATCTCTGATCATGCCAAGCAGAACTTGGGTGCTGAACTGGCTCTAAAAGTTTGGGTCGTTGAGAGTAGTGTCCGTCTACGGGAAGTTCCATGCAGAGTCGGATGGCAGCGCTATCATATGCCATGGCGGCTTCTATTTTCAGATTTAAAGGTTCCTAGCCGGATGCGCTGATTGTCAGCATATATCTGTGCTCCCCAGTGCCCATTGACTTGGCACACCACAAAAGACCTAATTCAATGATTATAGTAGTAACAACGAGTAACATCAATGGCAAGTAGTTAAATACAATGTCAGTAAAGAAAAATGGAACAAGATAACAGATGGAAGAAAAAATTATAGAAATACAGACACAAAATAAAAAAATAAAAAAAATCCGATAAAACACAAGTAAACAAACCAAAAGGTAACCTCCTATAGTCCTATGAAACAAAAATGAAAAATCAATAAGTAAATTAAGAAACCTCGTATATTTGTTTTTCCATAGCCGTTACCACTAGTTGTTATAGTTGTAGTAATATGCATTATTTTTGTTAATATATCCTGAAAAAATATGACAAGTTCACTACATTACAAGTGGTAACGGCTATGGAAAGAAAAATATAGTATGGAGAATTATTGTCAAATCAAATAATTAATGCAGTTCATTTATGTAGCTGCGCACTAAATTACAACCATAGCGATTAATGGCAAATGCAATGATTTACACCTTTACCACTAGTGGCGTAACATAACATTATATGCTAAACATTTAAATGTTTACGATGTAGTTAAAACACTTAAAAGCATGTGCAATGTGAAAAGTTTGCGTAAGTGAAATTATCAGCATGTTCGACACACCTTTGTTGAAGTGAGAATATGTAGTTTGAATCTTTCGAAATTGGTAGAACCCGAACCCAATTTGTCAAGACAGGTTAAGGTTAGATCAAATTCGTATACTTAAATCACAATTTAAAAAATAGAAAGACATAACAAAATACTCTGGAAGATTAGATCTTAAAATTTACATTCAATAATATTACCTAAGGGTTTGAGCCTGAGTTTCCTGGCCGGCCGGCGCCATAGTCATCTTTACGGAAGCTATCGTTATGCTTGCATCATTCAACTCGCAAAATTAAACCTTCAAATTAAAAGTTATAATCTTTCTAAAATCAGTGAAAAAAAAATTACAATTCCAAAATGGCCAAACAACCCATCTAAAGAGATACAAAGTTCAGAAGCTCACCAACTTAGATAGCAAAATCTTCACAAAAATGGAGCACAAATTTGCACTTTTCATATATGAAATTTGCAAGGACGAAGCGCATGCTATACCATTAGGGTTTACAATAATTTTGATGAGAATGTGAATCTAATAAATAAATATATATATATAATTCAATGCTGAGTGATGTTGAAAAATAATAGATTTTTGATTTAGCTTTTTATAATGAAATATATAGGGCCATCACTATTAATTATATATATGGAACAATAATGATAAGTTTAGTTGGGTGTGTTGGTTAATGATTTTTTAAGATGGGTTGCTGGGTTGTTTTAATAAAAAAATAATTATTTAATTAAAAGACTTATAATACCAAGAAAATTATTATAAGTGCTATCTAATTGCTATTATTATTATTATTGATAAATAATTTTAAATTAAAAAATAATTATTACTATTTAAAATTTTATAGTTTGTTCAAGAAATTTTAAAAATTATTTCTTTTAAAATATTTGAACAACACTTATTGTAATCTTACACGATATTTTTCATATACCAGCTTACAAAAGTTTAAAAAATTTGGTGTCATTTCTAATAATTTTAACTTTGAATTAGATTTCTTTATAATTAGTTCGAGTTCAATGAGTTTAACATTGTTTTCTATCTTTACTTTAAATAGTTTAGTGAAAGGCTCGGCACATCTAAAATAATTAAAGCAGCACCCGTTTATCTCATGTTTACAACATCGTTTATTATAATTATATAACATATTTTTTGTGAAGCTGATGATATGCCATATCATATTTATGATCTAAGGGAAAATTGCCACATCCAACTTCACGAGAAGCAGATATTATTTCTGTTAATTAAAAGCTATTTTCAAATTAAAATCTATACACTGTCATACAGGTCATTCCATATATATATATATATATAATGAAATAGTTAATCGTTTTAGCATTACAAGTCGAATTCATCTATACAAAAGTAAAAGGCCAACAGAAATCACATAGATGAAACACATTCACTACACATCGTCAGCGCAACCAGATACCCAATGTGCAATCCAATATGAGAACACTAAAATGCACACGAATTAGAACGCATGTTTGATCAAACATCTATATACAATCCGCACAATCATCATCAACACTCTATCTGTCTCTAGTAGAAAGAAAAAAAAAAAGGCAAACATCATATCGCTTAGGCAACACGGAGCCCACCATGTCAACAATTTGGCAATGTAGCAACTTAATACAATATAAAATGCTAGCATTAAATCAAGCTTTTAATAACTTTAAAATAAAATATGTGCGTATTTAAAAGTCAAACAACCAAGCATCACCGTCTGTCGGCAAAAATCAATTTTTCGTATAAAATTCCTTGTCGAGGATGATTGGTAGATACCCAGGTATGTCAATGCAACTTACAAGTGGTGTATCATTATTAGCAAAAGATAATGCAAGTTGATGTAGAGCAACCAGCAAAAATGTGTTGTATTAGATTGAAACATGAAATACAATATTTTTACAAACATTTAAGACAAAGAGCAAGAAAATATAAAGCAAAGAAAAGTATAAAATTAACATTCTAGAATATGAGCATCATATACAATAAACAACAACGTCCTCCAAAA